CGTGGCCTCGGCTGCTGAGCGCAGGGAGCGACCCCGCGCCTGAATGCGTTCACCGCCCGCTGCTCAGCAGCAAGGTGGAAAAAACAAAAAAAACCCCAAACCTCGTCGCTGCAAGTTTAGGGGTGTTGGGCTGCTGGGTCGTCTCGTTATGGCTGCCCGCCCTTTTCTGCCGCCTAACCCCTGTTGCAGGAGAAGAAAAGGTGTATGCATCTTTAGGCCGCTCCCTTATGTGTCATGATGACCGTTGCTCTCGTGCAAATGTTAAGTCAGCGTGTAATGCATAAAAAGGTTCCGTAAGTAAGGTTGTAGGGAATGGAGCTTTTCTTGTAACGCTGCACCCCCTCTATAAACTTAACTTTTCTTTGCTGGAAGAGGCAGGAAAGTTCATTCTGCTGTTCTCTGTGTAGTACTTATTTTGTTTATGATACTCTTCAAGAAGGCTAATTGTTTGTGTCTTCTACCCCTGGTTTGCTACCAAGGAGGTTGCTCATTTACAGCTTTGGAAGATTTTTCATGATTTTTCATTTTCTTTTTTAAGGAATCTTAAAAAAGATGCCACTATTTTATCTTAAATGCTTCTGTCTCCGTTGATCCATCTGTGATTCAGCACTTCCTGCAGCTTTTTCTTTCTGCTGCCATCAAAGTCATCTTTCAACTAGGCTTTGTTTTACACCAGCTTAAATCACCTAGGAGCCCTTTAAACTTTTTCATGTCATCCTATATTTATCATTGCGAAGCAGGTTGTGGTCTTAACATACCTGAAACTATTTTATTGTTTTGTGGGAGGAAACACCCCCTCCTTCTTCATTAACTTCCTTTGCTAGTAATTTATCTTGTCATTGTGTTCTCTTTGACCTTCCTCTCCTCCTTGCTATCCTGCTCCCTCCTCAGTAAGCCCTTTCTTCCTCTCTGGCAACTGAGATGGTCCAACTTTTTGCTTCTGCCAAAAGGCAAAGGTTCTGCTCCCTCTTTACTTCCACTTTGCTGCACAGTTATACTCCCTTATTTGTGCTCTCTCCAGTATTTGGTTTAAATAAGTTTAACTGGATCACAGAGGGATCTGATACACTTCTGAGCTGGTGTGAAATTTTTGTTCTGTAATGAGGAGGGATGAGCTGAGGAAAGAGGACTTTTCCCCTCTCAACAGCAGTTGGTTATCTTATGTAGACTTTCATGCACAACTTTGTAGTTTTCCTGGCAGATTTCAGGACAGTTTTTGGCCATTAGAGGTACAACGTCCTCTTACTTGATAAATGCTTTGATTTTTTGCCCCTATCATTTGCTTTGCATTCCAAGATCTAACTTATCTAATTGATTTTCTTTCATTTGTGGTGGCAGCTTTGCATCATCCCATCATCTTCAAAAGTATCCAGTAGATATTTAAATTGCTGCATGTAATTGTCAAACGCTCAAGAATTTTCTGACTTAATGTGTCACATTCATCTGCACTGTTTTAGAGTGTGAACTCTTAAGATAATATCTTTCTGTGCTTTTGTATAGTCCCTAGCACAAGGGAAACCTAATCTTCATATATAACTTCCTCTGTTATTGTTGTACTTGATTATCTCCTCATCTCTTTCTTTTACTTTACATATTTCTTTTTGAAGAGTTTGTCTCTACCTTTTTCCTCCTTTACACTGTTAAATGTGGAATTACTTTATGTAAGTATCACTTGCTTATCATACTTCTTTGACTTATGACCTGTAGATAGGAGGCTTGTGGAGTATCTTACCTTCTTCATTTTGCTATCAATTACTTTAAAGTCTGAAGTCCTCCTCAAACAAGTTTTGCCAGCTGTTACCTATCACACACTCAGGTGTGTGTTGAAACCTAACTAATTTTATGAAGAGCTCTGAGAGCCGTTGAAATGCAAGGCATTATTGGCTTGTCCTGCTTCACCTACTTTTTCTACGCGGCTTTCCTGCAACTCCAGATTGTGGTTTGAGGCATTCAACACTGCCTTTTCATTATTTTAGAGATGCTTTTAACACCTTTCTCTCACATTGTGTCAGAGTATAACCAGATTTAGTGTTAAGACCTCTCCATAAAAATTAAATGCACTTCTAATGTTAAAGAAACAGCAGATATTTTTATAAAATTTGCTCATCCCTAGCTTTGTATGTTGTGGACATTCGAGTGTTTACTTTGCCTCTGTTACTGTGTTTTCTGTAAAAACTGTAAGCTCTACTTCTGTAGATTAGACAAGTGAAACAAGAAACAGCTGAGGAATGCTGAGATCTTGGGAATACAGAAATGGGCTGTCTTGAGTGGATCTTCCATAAAGTCATAGCCTTCAGCATCTGCTACAGTTGAATATTTACAATACTCTTCTTTCCATGGTACCGTGACAAGTTTTAATCTTTTGTGGATCTTGGGTACTTTGGCCCAGCTTTTTTCCTTCCATTTCTTTCATCAACAGTCAGTAGTGAAGCAGCTCTGTATTTTGCAAGTTGCTGGATACAAATGTTAAGTGCTTTATCTCTTCTGCAGGTGCTGTTCTTTGGATTTGGGTGGCTGTTCTTCATGCGTAAGCTCTTCAAGGATTATGAGGTGAGAAGGGGCCTTTCATTACAATTCTACATCTTAAAAATTACTCCCAGTTATAGAAATATTTTAAAAACTGCACCTGGCCTTCTTCCTTTCTTTAAGCCCTCTTACCTTATTTTTAATTGGCTTTACAGTTAGTTTCTTTTTCATTTCCTCTTGTGCTTCTGTTTGAAAGACTCCTAGATATCTGAGGAAATGGGTTTTCCTGGGGCCAGTGAAAGTTTCCATATTGGCTACTGTTAAATAAATGGAAAAAAAAAAAGTGGAGGAGGTGCAGGGATAACAGAAAACCATTTTGCCTTTTGCTTCAGTAAGCCTGCCTTATGTAATTGTAAAATATTTGAGACAAAATGAAATTCAGTGGTTAACTTTAACCTCAGTGAGGTGTGTTCATTGTGGCTGAATTGTTTGTGAGGACTGGATGAGAGAAAACTGTCACATTATCATATCCCTAGAGGGGTATGAGGGAATATAGTCTAGGTCAGAGATGGCTTAAGTGTGAGCCAAATTCAGACCCAAAAAGTTTTTCTGATATGGATCTTATTTTTAAATCTAAGGTTAAGACCAAAGAGCTCTGTTAGCAAGGGTCCGTCATTAGTCAAGTTGACATATAGGGCGTTGCATGCTTGACACCCCTTCTGTGTAGGCATCTCCGGTAAAAGTGCTGATAGCTGCAATCAGTGTAGTCCTGAGCAACTTATGAGTTTGCCCTCTATTCCTAACAGGCTGTTGGTTTCTTCCCATTTACATAAAGGGCAAGGTGCCTTGAAGCAAGAGACCCAGTTGTGTACCTTGTGATTTGTTTTTCGTTACCTGAGGGATACCAGGATGCCATTCTGGGAATGGAAATGCCTGATGTCTCTGGCTTGCTTTCTCTATTGCAGGTGCGACAGTATGTGGTCCAGGTGATCTTCTCTGTGACTTTTGCCTTCTCTTGTACTATGTTTGAACTCATCATCTTTGAGATTTTGGGGGTCCTGAACAGCAGGTGAGTCTGGGAGCTCACTCAAGGACTAGCCTGCCTTGTGTTCAGCAGCTTCAGTCCAACTTCTAAATGAATGGATCAGTCTTGGGTTGGGGAAATTATGTGAGAAAATTGTCAACAGCTCAACAAAGATGTTTGAGCAGCAGGATTTGTTTTTTTGACAGAACATGAGACTAGAAGCCATAAGCTCCTGATTTTCCATGCAGTTGCTATTAGTGTGGTCTAGGTCCTTAGGGCAAGGCATTAGTCTTTGACTTTCTCCATTTGTGAAGTTAAAAGAAATGGTTTCTTTTATGGGAGTATTGTGAAGCTTCAGATCATGCTGAAGAGCACTTTTCAGATGTTAAGGACTGTAGAAACTATAAGCAGTAGTTTTTCTGTCGTGGTCAGAGCAGCGAATAAGGTGTGAAGCTAATTATGGAGTGAAAACTACTTCTGTAATAATAGGGTATTTGTGAATCAAAGGCGCATCCTCCCTTGACATAGGGTGAGGACTTCTACATAAAGGGGATGTTAAAAACTATCTACTTCAGAAGTCAGCAGGAACGTAGAGGCTAGCTGGGTTTCCTATTTATTCTCTCTCATCATACTAGTATAAGAGAGCAGTCAAAGGAGTTGAAAGGCAAGAAGTTCAAAACTGATAAAAGGTAATGCTAGTTCTGACTGTATGTTATTAATCTGTAGAGCTTGCAGCCAGAGAGATCACTGAGGAGAATGCTTTTATAAGCTTCAATAAGGGCTGGACATCAATATAGATGAAAATGTTTGCCTCTGAATTAGCTAGGAAAAAGTGACAAGGATCCTCATAATTTCTCCTTCCCTGGGGCATAAAGAGGATATGCGTTAATATTGGGAACAGGACATGTATTTTTCTATTCAAGCTAAGTGAAAAGTCAGTCCAGCCAAGATAAATCTCATCTGCATTTGACTAATCTGCTTTGGTCAGAGGAGTATTGATCATTTTGATATATATGTGTATTTTTTAAATTCTTGCTTTGCAGTGTCTTGCACATGAGACAACTCACTTTGAAGTGAAACATGTAGCATTATGAACATTAAATATTTCTAATATTTTAAATTTGAATTAGCCCTTTTTTGACTGAGCCACTCATTACAAAATTACTGCTTATACTTAGTTTTGATTTACTGTTCAACTAGATGAGCAGTAAATCAAATGAATCATGCTGCAACTGGCATTAGTCACCGTAGAAAATACAGTATTTGATAAAATAGCTCAATGTGTTTTTCTGGATAGTTGTTAATTTTGGAATACACATTCTTGAGCTCTGTTTTAAAAAACAAACCAAAACAAAAACCCAAAACAAACAACCCCCCCTCCCCAAGCCAAACAACAAACAAAATCCAGAATATTCTGTATGCTAGGCCAATATTATCCAATGTTTGGCGTAGTTGAAAGGATTGCATTGACATGTGATTGTCTTTGGGAAATTTGTTGTGTTATGATAGCATGCTAATCAGTATTTTGGCTTTATTTTAGCTCTCGATATTTTCACTGGAAGCTGAACCTGTGTGTCATTTTGCTCATCCTGGTCTTCATGGTACCCTTCTACATTGGTTACTTTGTTGTGAGCAATATCAGATTATGTGAGTACTTGGTTTATGGCAGTGGGGCTGCTAACTTGAGACTATGCATACAAATGAGAAATAACTTTGAGAAACTCTTTCTGAGACAGAGAGAGATGTGTTGGTCACTATCCCCATAGCTCCTTCCTTCCTCTGGCTTCTGGCTAGGTAACCTCTCTTTGGAACTTAATGCTTTAGCATGAACTGTTTATTGAGCAGTTAGGAGATACTTCATGTGACCCCAACAAATGTAGCTTTTCTTTATGGATTTTGACAAAGTTGAGCACTTTACAATAATGTTACTGGAATTTGTTCCTTTACAATTTGTTCCTTGCCTGGAACCCTTGGCAAGGTGGTGGTGTTCTGCTAGGGGGTAAAAGAAATGAGGCAGAGAAACTCAGTGAATTACTGTTGAGGGAGAGGCAGAAAAGATCAATAAATTACTTATGCTTTTTTTGCTTACTGCTCTCTGGATAAGGCCTTTTCCATGCGCTAACGGACATTTACCCTTAAGCTGTTGATATTCATCGCTTCCTTGTATTAAATTTAGGCATGTAGGTTGGGAGTATTAAATGTGTAGTGTTGGCATGAAGTTTCGAAGTTTCACGTTCAGGGTCATACAAGAAAGATGCAACTAAGTCATTCCCAATTCACAATGCAGCCCTCTTCATGCATCTGTAGGGAAAAGTGGTGTGTCGCTGCATTAGCTCTTAGAAACGGTGGTGTCTCAAATAGCTTGTTCTGTAGGAAGTGAAGGGGTGCATACTGCTAGCTGTAGCTCTGTCAGCTGACACCTGTTTTGGCCACCTGTGCTCAAAGCAGCTTTTGGACCAATGTAGCAATTTTGCAAGCTAGAAAAAGCCCTAAAGGAAGAACATCTTTAAAATACTGTTGTTTTTTTTTCCTCTCTGTTAGTGCACAGACGGAAACTGCTTTTTGCATGTGTTCTGTGGTTGACATTCATGTATTTCTTCTGGAAGTTGGGAGATCCATTTCCTATCCTCAGCCCAAAACATGGTGAGTTTTGTATTCTTGCTTATTCCTTCCCTCCTGAAAATAGGCTTTATTATCTCACTTTTATCTTGGAGCTATTATGTTATCTCAGCTCTACAGCTGGGACTGTAGCAAGTAGTTTTTGCCACTGAGGGTCTGCTCTGCTTTGAAATCTGCAATCTGAAGGTTGTCAGACTGACAGAAATGGGCAGACACATCCGAGTTATTTGCATTAGTTTTCTTCCAGTACCACAGGAGAACTTCAGGGAAGAGAATGAGTCCTAACTGAACGTAGGGTATGTAAGAACTCAGTGTACTTTTTGAGAACACAGAAACTCCACAGAAAGTTGATCACAATTTTTATTCACTTGTTTCTTTTCTTGTGGAGACTAAAGGTAATTTATTTGAGATAATCGACAACCAATCCTTCATCTGGCTTTTTTCAGTCAGATTATTGTTTCTTGTGACTGAAATCAGATCACTTTAGCATAGGTGGCTGTCCAGTTGACAAAACATGGCGGGGTGCCTAAATACCAGAGCTATATAGACTGTATCCAGCAACAAGTCTGGCAGTGCATGGTAGGTTCAGTACAGCTTCATACACTGCCTGAGCCCAGAGGCAATACAGTTGTGTGGTACTAGAATGTGACTTGGAAAGACCTGCTGGATGCCAGAGCTATTTATGTGCAGAATAGCTTGAGTATCTCTGTGTTGCAGTCATGGAACCAAGAGTATTTATAGTGTGAAGATACTGTGTGCTCTTGGCCTAGTTTTGGTCCAACAGAGCTTGTTAGCGTGTGCCTAACTGTACTGAATCCTTCAGGCACCTAAGTGTGCCAAAGGATTATAATGCTGTAGAAGCAGGCTGTTTGTCACCTGGGTTTCCTGTGTAACTTATGTTGCCCTTATCCCCTGCACCTGAAAATTGTTTGTATATTGTTCTCAACAGGTGAAATTCAGTCAGTTTCACTCAAATTGGTGAATATGTCTGTCTGTGTAGATAATGGTCAGCTTAATCTTTCTGATCTCTAGGAGGCTACTTTGTGCTGATCTGTAAGAGAAAAATTGAAGGATACCAACTGCTGTAGGGTCTGCTCACCCTTTCGTCTGTGATCCTAAAGCTTTCCTAAGAGAAAGTGTGTATCTGTGTTTTGTAATTGTGTCATTTGCTGCTGAAATGCAACAGCTAGTATACAGTGCAGATCCCTCTGTCCAGTGTTTCATTGCCAAGAAAAACATGTATCCACTTTGAGTTGTGGAAGGTGCTTGAGTTGGCAGAATATAATAACCCAATGGGAACTTTGCCATCAGGTTTAGGTAATCCTTTTCAGATCACTGAAAAGGTTCTGTGAAGCTGCGTAACAACTGCAGATTTCCAGAACTGGTAGTGGGGTGTCTTCTATTTTTAGGTTCTGCTTTACAGGATGATACCTCCACTTAACGGTTGCACAGTGCCTTATCCTACCAGGTGTAGACATAAGGGTAGAGGAAAGGATTCTAGGCTTTTTTTCCCTGCTGTACTGCTAGGGTGCTGCTGTCCTGCATGTACTGAGAAGGCTGCTGCACGGCTTTGTTGTGTGGCGGTGTCCCAGTTCAGACAGGTAGGATCCTGTTGTGGAGGGACACCTGACAGGAGGCCATGCTTAACGAGCCCCTCACACTGCAGTACATTCCTTGTAGTGCCTTTCTCAGTGTGCCTCACACTGCTCACCTGCATGTATGGTGCTGTGCTGCAGCTGGGGAATTGTGCTGGCTAGCGGGGCCCTTTCGAGTACTGTCACTGGCATCCTGCGTCAGGGGTGCCTTGCCTGGGGATGGTGATGGCAGTGTGCTGCAGCTGGGAAATGCGCTGGCAGTCAGGGCTTCGAGTCAGGAGCCCTGGTTGGTCTGCGGTTTGCTTAAAATACCTGAGTTTGGGAGCTCATAGTAGAAGGAAGGTTATGCTTTACTCAGTTACATACTAGTATTCTAATAAAGCTCTTATCTTTATCTGGGTTGATGAAACATTCATTTTATCTGACCTGATCACAAGAGTAGAGTTGCTATGAGTGTTATGGGGGAGCATTGCTTTAACCAGTGGAATGTCATGTCATTTTGAAGGCACCTCTGTTTTAACTGCTGCTGTCTGACAGTGTGTGGGGCAAAAGGCCAGCGTATTGTAGCACATTCTGTAGCTGGTGTAAATCTCTATGCAGCTGCACATGACTGGGTGTCTCGGTCTCCCTTTGTGAAGTCTTTTTGCCTTGTTTTCATCATTTATTCCCCTTCTCTGAAGCATGAAATGTGGCTTGGCGCTTGGCCATCTCAGCTTTGCAATCATTTGAGCTCCAAATGTGCTGTGTGTGGCAGCTGCTCTGTAACTAGCTCCCTAAAAAGCAAGTGATGTTTAGTAGCACATGGCACTGTATCCTGAGAAGACAGGTTGAGGTCTGTGTTTAATGGCTGAGAAGAATAAATGCAACTTCAGTGCTTGGTGTTGGTTACAGCACAGGCTTGATGCTCAGGTTGTATTACGTGCGTATGTGTTTTAGAGTCCATTTGGTGCTCAGGTGGAATGCCTTGGTGGTGGTCACCTCAACAACGTGTGTGTGTACAAGATGAATACTGAACAGCCAGGAGCAGCATAAGCTTCCCATGCGGTCGTAACTCTGCTGTCCTACAAGCACAAATTGCGTCTGATCTGGAGAGGTCGCTTCTCATGACAATTGACAGTATAGGGCTTCCTCTCTATGGTCCAGATATTTTGGGGCCAGTTTGCCAAGACTAACTGGTTCGGTAACTCTAATCCTGGTTATTGCAGAAGTGGCTTTGTGGAAGGTGCCTCCTTTATAGGGTCTGGTGGATGATCTGTGTTCCAACCTTAGCAAAGTGCAATCACTAATGTTTTATTAATTTAGAAACAAAATGTTGACTGTTAGTCCCCTCCAGGTCTGTCTTAGGCTTCTTCATATCTAGAGTTTCCCATTCTTGTTTTTAAGCATGGTAACATGCTTTCTGAGGGAGACTTTTTACCTCTTTCTTTCCTTAGTCCCTTTGTATTTTGTATTACCTCTGGTCATTGCAGTGGGAGGGCAGTTGGATTCATTAACCAGCTCTGTATGTGTGTTGTGTTTTGAAGGCACCAAGTGGGGAGCAGAGTGAAGAGAGCAAGGTTACTAATGCTGTGTTTTTCCTCTCAGGAATCCTGTCTATAGAACAGCTCATCAGCCGTGTGGGTGTGATTGGGGTGACACTCATGGCTTTGCTGTCAGGATTTGGGGCTGTCAACTGTCCGTACACTTACATGTCCTACTTTCTCAGGTAACCGCAGCCTTGTGAAATATTTTGTCCGCCTTTTTGAGCTTATTCTTCTGCCTTTCCTGTGGCATTGATTTAATTTTTTTCATAACTTTTTTTCTGAATCTAGCTATTGCCATGTCCACATGCTAGAACCATTCTCATTGCTGAAGCGTATTCTACTTGGCTTCTCTCTTCTTTGTTTCATAGACATGTGCATATTTCCTCTGAAATGGGATAGCAGGCCTAATTGGGTGTTGTCATTTTGCAGGAATGTGACAGATGCAGATATTCTGGCTTTGGAACGACGACTCCTTCAGACTATGGACATGATTGTTAGCAAGAAAAAAAGGTGAGAAGGCAGCAGTAGTATGAAATGTTTTATTTCAAGTATTTTCAAGTATTTTCAGTATGGTATAAGAAGGTTCTTGAAATTACTTAAGCCACTACAGCTGGCTCGCTCTCTGGTGGTTGCAGTACAGCAGCTGGTTCATACATATTGAGTGCTCTCCTGCTCTGTGGATCTGGTGTTTCCTGATCAAAGCTGAAGCAGGCTAGCGTGCTGGTGTGGACACGGCTATATTCTTGCAAATGGCAAGGTTTGCATTAGTTAAATTTTGTAGAATTGCAAAACATTGCTAATGTGAACATGGTGTAGTGCACAAGCGTGCCATCAGAACTCTGCTTGTGTTGGTTTAGCTTATTCCATGTACCCCAAGTGAAAAAGCTTACTTTTGGAAACAATATAATTTTATTTACACTGAAAAGATTTTTGTGTGCTGTTACAAATTACATATTACGTGCCTTACTAGTTGTGTGGAATAAATATACCATAGTCACTTCAAAGGTCTGACTGTCTGACACTGAATTCTCACAGCAGTCCCCCAAACTTTACTTTTGGTGCACTAATGTTTTAATGGAACCTTTTAATGTATGACAAGGGGGCTTTTAGGTAGTCTAACCTTGCTGAATTAGTCACCAGCATGTGTATCTGCTGATCAGTGTTAGCATATGAAAGTGTAGTTAAAGCATAACCTTTTTTCTTCCCCTTTGAAAATGTTAAGTGGTGAACAAATGTTAACTCAGTATTTGTGGTCATGTGTGAGGTGGTAAGTAGTGAGAAAATTTAATTACTCAGGTTTAATTGATTTAATTGACTAAGAACATACTCAAATTCAGGCTTTGGAGTTAAAATATATTGTATAGTGCTGCTTCTGACTCTGTGCTCTTTTGTTTTGTACAGCATTTTTGGACCTCTGGTCCAAGGAGGGTGATGTTGGGGTAAAAGGAAGGATGTCTGGGAGTTGTAAATGACTAGCACTTTCTTGCCTTCCCGTGGCCATGAAATCTTCTGAATGTAGCAACTTCCTAACCATTATGAAGAGCCACATAAAGTGTGTTAATTGCTTGGGAATTATACTGAAGTTCATGTATTTGTGTTTAAAAAAACCAAAACAGAAAAACCCCCAAAACTATGTAGTCTCAGAAATGTGCAAGAAACAGCAGAAGCTTGAGTTCTGTAGATTCAGTTCTCTTTTTGCTTTGACAGGGAGCAATGGCTTGCATAATTGGAATATTTGCTCATATAAAGCAGAGCTTAAAAAGTTAGATTTTTATCAGTTCAAATGCAATCCAAATCATTTGGCAGAACAAGTAGGAATAGGAGTATATTACAGTGTAGGATAAACGCTATAGTTCCATAAACTGTCAGTTACTTGTTGGCCACCTTTTCAGTAGTACTCATAACTTCTCAATGCACACAACCGTTTTAAGGCAATAGAACATAAAGCTTTTTTGGTTTCTTTGCTGATCTTGACATTTCTTCCCATACCAACCCTTATTCATACTGGCTTCCTTGTCAGTGGGAGATAGTAATTGAAAGTTGTTTTCCCTGATGCTTTTTGCACAGGAATTATTGTTCTCTTCTTCCTGAGTGTAATCAAGTAAAGCCTTATGGAAACTCGCCTCTAAGGTTGGCAGGTTCTTTATACTCATCCTTGCAGGCATGACATAACTAAGCCTCAGGCTTGAAATGTCTAGATTCTGTGACACCATTGCTTCATTTTGCTTCATGTTAGAGTCAAATCAGCCTATCTGACATAGATTTATCGCATACCTGCACAGGCAAAGTGTGTGGTTTTTGCCTGTGGATCCTTTCTGTGAGGTCTTCAGAACTGCTAACTACTGTGTAGGTACAGAGATCCCTGTCACCTCTCAAAAGAAAAGATTTGCCTTTGTATACATATAGCCTTGTGCTTCACCTTGACATAGCTGCATTTTTGCTGCAATGCTGTGGATCGTTTTGGATGGAACGTGTGAATCGGGTACTGGGAAGAAAGCAAGGATTAAAAATGCAATTCTTATATTTGGCAGCTATCAGGATGAATTGAATCGTCCTAAGATCTCTGTTATTTGTAGTCTGTGGCCATATGTGCTTTTATCTGTGTTATGTGGGGTGCCCCAAGGGTGTTTCTTTTGCTGGATGTGCAGGAGGAGCAATTTTTTTTTCTTATTGCACTGCTTATCAACAACCTTCAAGAGGGCTTAGTGCCAAATGTAGCAATACGGGCTGCAGCTACAAGAAAGGGGCTACACACTGTTGAATCATGGATCGCCTTGACAATCCTATGAATAGTTTTCGGCTTAGGAGTGGATAACTGACTCACAAATTTCAATGGGGAGAAATGTGAGGGAATGAGGCCAGGAGCCAGCGCTGCTCGTGGGGATTATGCTGCAGTGCATGTGGGAGTGTGAGGGACAATATGCAGCTGCTGCTGTAGTGTTGGAATTAGCTTTAGGAGTCACGTTCAGGTCGCCTGAAGCGTCCAGTGGTTCAGTCCAATAATGGATTTATGTGTTTCTGCTTCATAACAGCTTGTCATGCAGCCCAGTAGTGAGTGACAACATATCAGAGAGTGCTGCTGCATACCATCCAGCGCTCACAGTTCTGTGGAGGAGGCGGATGTGCAGTGATAAAGAAGAGGTGTTCAAGGGGACAGGAGCACAAGAAGTCTTCCGATTTCTGAACCTGAGATAGCACAATCATGTGTTTGAGGAAAGGGAAGCGAATAATCATGTGACTGAAAAATCTATTTGAATTTTTATTTTTAATTGGGTTTAAATCCCTTTAAGGATTGAAGCAGGATCCTGAATGGAAGTCTTGGGAAGTGTCTCATTGAATCTTGCTTGATTAGATCTGGGCTCTACTCCAGAGCTAATCAAGATAATGTTATGAAGCAAGATTGGTGCTTAGGGGGGAAAAAAAGGGGGCATCTGTTTGCAGTGAATTTAGTTTAACAGTGTTTTCTAAGGAACTGCTTTTTAGTTTTGGGGTGTTTTTTTGTTTGGATTTTTTATAAAAATGCTTTATTCCTAAGGATTTGTGTTTTCTGTTCTTTCAGGATAGCAGTGGCTCATAGAACAATGTTCCAGAGAGGAGAAGTGCATAACAAACCCACTGGCTTCTGGGGAATGATAAAAAGTGTTACAACATCTGTTGCAGGCAGTGAAAGTATCCTTCATCTGCATGCTGGCACCTGCCTCAGGAGGTGGCTCCAGCCTTCTCTTTTGAAAGGAAGAGTGTTAGTTGGGCCAGTTACAAAACATTTGTGTTTCAACACATTTCAGCAGCCTGAGCAAAAGGCTTAATGTCTCCTGGGAAGTTTGTTCTCTACCACTGTACTGTCTCACCTCTTGCCCCGGGCTTGGACACGTAGTTTTACTGTGACACAGTGGGAGTTGTGTGCTGCTGCGGTGCCCTGTAAATGTGCTGTTGCATCACCATGGTTGAGGTGTACAGCAGGTCACAGGACAGACGTGCACACTTACGGTGTCACATTGCAGATATCTACCCCATCACATCACTGACGTGGGAGGCAGCTTTCTATTCTGATGTGTCCTCTGCTCATATGACTGATCTGCCTGCATATTTTTCTCATAACTTGAAATATGCTTTTCCAGGATGGAGAACCTGTGGTGTACTTGAGCAAAACAAATGGGGTTGGCTGAGGTGCTGGAACAATTTACCTAGCCTATAGTTGGCTTTCTGGCCATGTTTGAAAGCCGTGAGAAAAAGAAGGGCAGAAAGCAACTTGTTGACCGAATAAGTTGTTCTCATGATATAGGCTGGGCACTGGTGCTATACCAGTGTGACAAAAAGGTGGATAGGAAGAGGTGAACAGAAGTTGTTCTGCCCATGCGAAAGGGGTAGAAGGAATCTGTTGGGAATACAAGGGTCTGTATTTCTCTAACTTACAGTTGCCTACCAACAGTTTCTGCCAGACCACCTAAAGTGTGCAGTTTGCATATTTAAGGCTGAAGACTCTTCTTCCTCTCTTTTCCCACTAGCTGTTAAAATCAAAATTTGGCTATTCGACTAGACTTTTCATAATAATCACGAATTTCTTGTAGCAGTTACTCAGCAGTTTTGTTTATGAAGATGGTGTGAGAGTGACATATGATGATGCACTTCAGTGATAAGGGACACTGATCAAAGAGCAGCAGTCTTTGAGAGCTCTGGTTCTATTCTGCTATGTGTTCCCCAGGCAGAGGAATAAAGAGCTTGTTGCATGACTGCCTAAATACTGTGTACTGCCTACATTCTTAAAATGGAGTAGTGTGCAATATATGTATCCTTGAGATTTCTTTGGGTGCAGTATTAACAAGGACCATTAAGACTGAATCAAAAACCTGATCTGGATCAAAAAAGTGGCCAAACCATTAGATGTGGCCCTGGGGCTGAAGGTGGGGAACATTTTGTTTTTAATTAAGGATTTGTGACGTATTCTAGCCTTGACTATGCTGGTTTGCCAGATCTGTCCCTTATCCAGCAAGAAGTGGATGCCCTAGAAGAGCTGAGTCGGCAGCTTTTTCTGGAAACTGCTGACTTGCATGCAACAAAGGTACGTAGCAAAGTAGCTGCCCAGATGGGTGTTGGGATGCCAGAGTACTTTGAAAGAGAATGTATGTTACAAGAAATTGAAAGCTGTT